AGGAGCCCTGTGGAGCTGTTCAAGATCTACAGTGTGAAGGAGCTGACCTTTGACCTCCCTGCAGCCCCGCCCACCAAGAAGAGGGTAAACAACAATCACTCCTTCAAAATAAAAGTCTCCCTTTGAAACCAAATCAAGAGTCACGGCTTGAAACATATAAATATCTTTTACAGGATCGTTTTGTGACGGGGGGGTCGCTGCTGGACCCGGAGCTGCAGAGACAGGCTGAGAGCGCCATGACCCCCCCCCAGGACGCCCCGCTGGACTTTAGTGCAGCTCTCACACAAACCGACACACACACCGAAACAAAAGACACACCCATCGACACACTTAACGTTATACACACTGATACACACACACCTTCAGAATAAAAGCCTCTCTCACACACACCTTCAGAATAAAAGCCTCTCTCACACACACCTTCAGAATAAAAGCCTCTCTCACACACACCTTCAGAATAAAAGCCTCTCTCACACACACCTTCAGAATAAAAGCCTCTCACTGCAGCAGTTTGTTTATAAAGGATTTGCTCAGTATTTTATAAACTTTATTTCCTTTCAGAGTTCGTCTAAATAAACATTTCTTATTGGAACAGTCTCTCTTTATTTGGTTTCTACACACAGTGATGCTTTCACTTTGGAAAAACATTTCTGTAGTTTTATAAAAGTTTAAATGTAGGATGTTGAGGTTTTGAAAGGCTTTTTATTGTCCCGTCCCAACATTATAAGAGTAGCCAAGTTTACGGGATGTCAGTGAACGCGTCTCAGACGGGTTCAGGATCTGGTGTTCTGGATCCACTCTGTGATGAGTCGATGAGCGACGGCGTGTTTTGGGGGGAGCCAGGGGGTGGGGGGGGCTCCTCCTCTGTGGGGGGGCGTCTGCAGGGCGGAGAGGACCTCCTGCTGGGAGAACCAGCGAGCGTCCTCCAGCTCAGAGTGATCCACACACAGCTGGGGAAACAATGTGTTAGAAAACGGTCTCCGGCTTAACCTTGAATCTCAGGATCCATGTATCTGTGATCCTCTCCAGAATGGAAGTAGTCATCACATACAGAGCATCAACTAGTTCCTGAACAGTGTCCTTCACATGCTGATATCCAAGAGAGGGAGTTCCACAGTCACAAGATGGAGGAATAGAAAGCAGTATTCAATGTTTACTTCAGATTAGCTCCACGTCAGAAATGATCATGCTTGTCATATGTCTCTCTCCATAGAGGCTGAATCATCATGTTAATCACATAGCTATCATATGCCTCAAACAGTCCTGATGCTCTTCTAGGTAATCACACATCCTGTCATGTTCACAGCTACAGTTGGGATACCTTTGTTAGCATGTGGACTCATGTTGGAAGAGGACATTCAGTATTTTCACAACACGAGGAAAACATTTTAATTACACAAATATATTTTAATAATTAATCTAAAGAGTTTCAACATTGCCTTTAATTTAAGTCGTTTATGGATACATATTATATCAACTCATCAGGATTTCATGATTATGACATTGGGGAAAAAATTAGTGGGTGGGGTTTACAGACTCACCTGAGAGTGGGCGGGGCTAACGGAGGCGTGGCAGGCCATCATGAAGGAGCTCTGAGGAAACGGCCAGTGCTGAGAGGAGCTGAAGGAGAAACTCTGGACCTCCAGGCCCACCTCCTCCGCCACCTCCCTGCTGAGGGTCTCCTCCAGAGTCTCACCTGCACACACAGGTAGAGTCATACAGGGGTACAAGGAGGCCATGACTACATCTAGAGTTCTGCCGATGTTTTGAACATTGCAGACTGAAGCTCAGCGCTAACTTTTATACGTTCTGCCTTAGCTCCAAAAACCATTACCTCAGTTTTATCTTTGTTTAGTTGGAGAAAGTTCTGACACATCCAGTCGTTGATTTGTTCAATGCACTCACTCAGTGTCTGAACTGGAGCATAGTCTCCTGGTGAAGTGGTTACGTAAATGTGTGTCATCTGCATAGCTATGGTAACTTATTTTGTAGTTTTCCATTATCTGAGCCAGTGGTAGCATGTAGATGTGAAAGAGAAGAGGCCCCAGGGTGGAGCCTTGAGGAACCCCCACATGTCATCTGTCCACTCAGATGTGTGTTTACCTATAGAAACAAAGTGTTTCCGTCTTTAAGTAGGATTCAAACCACTTAGAACTAACCAGAAATTAGTCAACATGTAAAGGCTTCA